TGATTTTGGCCCATGAAAATGTTTTAGAACAAAACATGTTTAAAGAAAATGATTTTAAAAGAAATAGCATGTGAATGCTATTAGGTTTTCCAATGATTTTGGAAATGAGATTTTAAAGAGTATCATTTCTTAAAATGAAATATTTTAAGGAATGATACAACGCATGGTGGCCTCAGAGATCGAGATGTGGGAATCGCATCCTTGGGGGCAGGTCCCGAAACCCGTACGGATCCGCTTCTTGCTCAGTGGAATTATGGCTCTGCACTTTTCACTAGACAGACATTTTACCGCTCCTTGTTCAGTGGTATGATGAGCTGCACACTTTCATTATACAGATATTTTTTACTATGTGAGTATTTCCTTTTCTAAAAAGGATGATTGGTTCCAGGTGTATGTCTTCGGACCGTGAGTACCTTTATTTAAAATGTTTTATAAAATTGTATCATACTGAGCCTTCCGCTCACTTTTATTATGTTTTCAATGTTTTAAACTCCTCCTCCAGAGTTAGCGGTTTAGATTTGCAGCGTGACAAGTGGATGCCAATGGATTGAAGATGCGAGATTCGAAGCGGTACGTTTGTTTCGGATTTATGGTTTTAAATTTTGAGATGTACTGTATTTCTGTATGCAAACTGTATTGGTCGACATTGTCCCTGAGTTGTACTATTTTTCTTGGACTTAATGGACTGTTTTAAAAATTATTTGTGAAAGAAAGACTCCGGAGCAAACTATATTGATATTTATGTAATTATTTTGTGATTTGGTGAAACAGGCTAGTTTAATTAAGTTAAATTTTAAAATAATCACGGCCCTATCCTTAGGGTCGTGACATACCCACAATGATGGCACTTTGGTCGGTAGGGAGAATTTCTGTCACTCCCAGATGAACTACTACCACCACTGATCACATCCTCACTAACCTACCCTTGGTTCCAATTTCTTCTACCGCTCCGTTGTGGCCCACCCAAAGCAGAGGGTCCACCCGAAGCAGAAGCTCGAGCAACTGCTTCCTTGCTTTGCTGATAGGCTAAGTTATCTTGTTCCACACTGGTAGCAGCATCCACCAAGCCTCAAAAATTTCGGATCCTTAGAGGCACTAAGGGTCTCCTTACATTAGGTTTCAAGCCTTTCTCAAACTTCAGGCATTTCAGATGTTCAGATTCTACCAGAGATGACGTAAAGTGGGACAAATCATTGAACTTAGCCTCATATTCCCTAATCGTCATATCACCATGCTGCAAGGTCATAAACTCGAGGGAAGTATTGTTCATTGAAAAGAGTTTCAAACTGCTCCCAAGTCATTTCAGCAACATTAAGCCTTCTTCTCACTTGCTTCCACCAGTTGCTTGCTTGGCCTTCCATTTTATATACAGCAAATTATATCTGGTATTCTTCCGGTACTCCCATAGTATCTAAATGTTTAACTATGGAGTCTAACCAAAATTCCGCTTCTTGAGGTCCTCCCTCACTATTGAATGTGGGGATGGGTGCACGCCTAAATTCCCGGAAGGTACTTTGCTTCCTATCCTCAACCGGCCGCTCATTCTGAGCTCTAGTGGCCATACCTTGAAAGACAGCATACATGGCATCCAGAAACTCTTGGTTCTGTGGAGCCGGGTTGTTAACCGACCTACGCCGTGGCGGCATCTCTTTTATCAGAAAAGAAACTAGACTGTTCAGTGCATTCCTGATGTCACACATGCATGTACAATCTTGTGGATTCTTAACCTAGGGCTCTGATACCACTTTGTCACACCCCCAAACGGGGTGGGTGACGTGGAGCTTGATTAGGGGTTAATAAAGCAAATTCTCAAACGAGCCCCACTTAACTTGATTAAAATATAATATTAATTTCTAAGTCCTGAGCCTCTAACAACACACAGGGCTCCACCCACAAGACATACAGTATTGTACATACATGAACATGTAAATAATCATTACAGACATCAACCACAGTCTAGTAAATCCAAATATTACATGAGTTTACAGAAGTTCACTTCCTTACATTTATATGACAGAGGATGAACACAATCCTCGCTTGATCTAACAGTAGCAAATATCCAGCTACTCCACACTGCTCCTAGAGTCTCCTGGGAGGGGTTAACATTTTAAAACATTGAAACATGAGCGAAATGCTCAGTAGGATATATTTGAAATAACTTTATAAATAAGTGAATAAATAAATGTGTGCGTAAATAAATAAGACATTTAATTCCAACACAACAGCGGAACCTAATATCTTTTTTCTCAAAGGAAATATAACTGAAAATTACCGTATTACAGACATCAGCAAGTAATTTGTACAAATTACTTACACATCCAAGTGCACAAGCCTACCCGGACCGAGTTTCGGGTTCTTTCCCCGAGGATGCACTCTCCACATCCTATCTAGGCCATCAGCAATATTTTCTTACCGGTTCGCAAGATCTCTTTCATTAAGGAATCGTTTATTAAACATTATGAAATCGTTATTATAATCCCACGAACTACAACAAGCTGTGGATCCCCATGAACTACAACAACCCATAGGTTCTGTGAACTACAACAAGCCACGGTTTTCAAATAGTTTTCTTTTGCAAACAAGCCCCTTTCTTTAAAAATATTTACAAGGCCAAAATCCTTTTGAAAATTAGGCTCACAAAGAAAGGGATAGAAATCCTACCTCAAATTTACCAAACTTGTGACTAGTGGCGCACTATCCCAGCTTCTGCTTCCTCAAGCCACTCAGTCCGAGTCTTCAGCTATCACTGTCACAAGACAATACTTTAGGATTCCAATCTCATTCCTAAAGTAATTCAGACTCAATCATATCCTTTGATTTTTTTCCTATTAGTGTGGCATAATCAATTTCATGTTTCAAATCATAATTCCAAGGGTTTTAATTCCAAAACATGGATTAAAGATACTAATCCACCGACTCTAGTTCCCCAAATGAAGCTAATTTGGGTCCTCCCCAAAAACAGGGGTCAAAACAGCAATTTCAGGCCAAACAAGGTCAAACCCCGTGTACACCGGTCGACCGGTGACAAAACAGGGCATCACCACCGGTCGACCGGTGGTATGTAATCTAGTCGACCGGACCGGTCGACCGGTGGCCTCAGTGTAATCCGGTCAACCTAGGCAGTCGACCGGCGAAGAACTCCAGTGCAAGAAAATTCACAAAAATCAGTTTGAAAACCTGCAAATCCAGTCCCAATTCACAATATCTCAAGGGACAACACCTGAATCTAGGTCCTAGGCACTAAAACAAGTCCAAAGAACCCAAGATCTCCAATTTCTACCCTAGTTTTACTCAAAATCCATCAAAATTCATTTCGAACTAAAAATAAGTTTTAGAATCCAAAATCTAGAGATTCAAGAGAGGTTTTTTTCAGAAATCTTACCTTGAATCCTTCTTTTGATGTTGAAACCCTTTGAAACTTTCCTTTGGTTCGAAATCCCATTGAGTTGAAGTAAAAACAAGAGAGATAGAGAGGGAGTGTGAGAGAACGAGAGAGTGAGAGAGAGTGAGAGAGAGTAAGAGAGAGGGGTGCACGGGAAGGAAGGAAAAGAAAAAGAAAGAAAAGGAAGAAAAGAAAATAGACAGGTACCAACATTTAAAGAAAACAGTCCAGAAATGCGCCCATACACACTTCTGGGTTAAAATAAAAATTACTGAGAATATTTAAATACCTTAGAATTATTTATATTACACGTCAGAAATATTTATTAATCAAAACTCAATTAATTAAATCAGATTAGGCACACGAATAAATTTTAATTATCTCAATTAATTCCACTTAATTCTTCGGGGTGTTACAACTAGTCAGGATATGGTCTCAGATCTTCGATCGAGCATCGGGAACCTCAAGAACTGAGACTCGAAGGAATCCTGCCACGGCGGCGGTGGCAGCAGAGACGAAGGTTGCCGGAGCATATTTCCACGGCGGACTTGGGTCCTATCCCCCCTAAATCAAACATTCTGAGTTCAATGGTGCATTTAATTTCACGAAATTCGGCTTCTATCTACTCCGATCAAACCCAAAAACGTCGGCAAAATCCGGCGACTTGATTCTCGATTCTCCAGCAATGGAAACTCAAAATTGGGTATGGGATTTTGTTACCCACTTTCTTCTGAGTGTTTTGACACCAAAATCATGACAATCCAATGGTTGGATCATCGGAACCACCCTCCACCCAAACGGCGGCGGCAGCGGCGAGGTCCGATCTCCAGCAAACAGTGGCTAATTCGGGCGGCTGAGGGTTGTTTCTTAATCTACGTCGTCCACTGAGTCCAATGGCACCGGCGGTGTCAAAAACGGAGGCCGGAATAATACACAACGGAGAGGAGGCGCGGTGGTCGAAATGGGTGGCTCCTGTGACGATGCTCCGGGTGTAGACTAGAGGGTGTTGCATCAAATTGGTTCCCTTTCCGTATACACATCACAAGTGAAAAAAAAATTTGAAATTGAGAAACCCCCAATTGTTCCCCCAAAATAGTTAATCCTCAATTTTATAAAATTTTTCATTGTCTGTCCACATGGGATCAATTATATGCAAAAAGACTAATGTTGAAGAAACTGTCTAATCTTTTAGCTTTGTTTTCAATTTGAAAACCGTACGAAAACTTTATTCTCAATTTGATCAACATTACAATAATTTTAATGTTTAGAGTCAAAATTAAAAGTTGAGAGACCAATTTATCAAACTCCTGAAATTGAGTGAATACGTATAAAAAGAAATGTCTTTTTTTTAATAAAAAAGAGATGTAATCCAAAGCATGTAAATTTTTTATGATATAATTCATGAGATGAGATACTCTAACACGCTTTTCTTTAGTTAAATGTTTTAACTCCCTGTTTTTTGGTTTGAACTTAATAGATATTATAGAAAGCGAGAATAAGTAGTACTGATTCAAAATGTAAAAGATAAAATGAGTTTTTAAAGTTTGAAAATCAATCTGAGAATATAACATCTAAGTTCAATTGGAACTCGGTGAAATTAAATTAAAAAACAAAACAACAAAAACTTGTCCATCTGTTTCCGAATTTGACCTTAGAAATCGTTTTACGCACGCTCGAGGCAAGACAACGTCAACATCAATACAATCAAAAATTGTACTCAAATTTTTCAGCAAAAATAAAACAGAACCTAAACCTAAATGAATTGTAGGCTTCCAGCACAATATTGGGCTAGAAAACTCAGAGAGTAAATACAACCGCCTACAAACATGGGCCGAAGCCCATATCAGTAAATTAAAAAAAAAAAAAAAAAATCCTCGTACACAACACATACTTCTCAACCAGTTGGCAAAAAGTACTGACGCAGGAGAAAAAGCCTTCTCATTTACCTTTCCTCTCATCCCTTTCTTTCCACATAAATCAACCTCAGCGCATCTTCTGCAGTCATTCTATAAAGTCAAACGAAACGAACTTTACCTTTCCTGGCAACCACAAAAAATGTGGTGTGCTTGTTCTTTATTCTTCAACGAATATGGGACCGATTTTGTCTTTAAATACAATGGTAAGAAAGGGTTAAAGAAAAGAAAAAAGGAAAAAGGAAAACCTGATTGGAACAAGAGGATAGGGAAACAAAAGGAATTTCCCCACACCAAAAACACCGACCAGTTTGTAGAGTCCTTTACTCTCCTCTGCTCTCAGGATTGCACAGCCAGTCTCTGCAGGTGTTCGAAGAAAACTTGAAGGCTCACGTCATCCGTGAAGATTATGTCAGACCCAGCAGCCATCTCATGGGCATTGTTGTAAGTAGCTGACGGATTCAGCTTCGCTAATAAGAAGCGTGCCTGAAAAGCATGACAATTATTGCCATTATAGTAATTCAGGAAAACATATGGGGGAAACGAGAGAGCATAAAACTCATATCATCTGAATCAGCTATGGATTCCGTGTTTGGAATCAACATTTCCACAAGGCATGTAGACACAGCCAATATAAGAGCCCAGAGTTACAGATTTGCTTTTCCTCAGCTCATAATGCAAGAGCAATTGGAATTATAAGCACTGGCAAAATATTTTAAAAAATTAAAAACTCAGAACACATCAGCCAAATTTTCACAGTACAATTGCATCACCACCGGCACCAATAGCTCACTTCCAGAGGTAAATACCATTTGGGTGGGGTGGGGTGGGATGCGGAGTTTGGGGGCACACTTTCAGCCAAAACCAGTAACAAATCAGGAAATGAAATTTGAACCATCCGAGTCAAAAAATATACATTGGGAATGCAAGCTCAAGCTTACTTGAATATGACACGAAACAAGGACAAGTCATTTGTAAGTCTAATTGCGATAAAGCTCAAACATAATCAAATATAAGCACCAGCTAAAAACAGCTAAATACAATAAAATTTCAACCATAAGGAGATAGTAAGACAGCATTTCTGAGACTTGTTCAAAGGACTTTTGTCCAGAAGAACATAGTGAACTAAAACTCCAACAAGTTTCAACTAACTTGTGAGACCGATATGCTGGAAAATCTTGTATATGCCATCTGTGCTGTGTTAAACTCTAGTAATACTGGGACCAACCTTTCTAAAATCAACTTAAACGATCAAGATCTAAATCTAATCAAATCAGTAGCATAAGGCAGTAACAAGAACTCGGCATGCCATGACTTGGTGACTAAAAATCATCTTGGCTTTTTAGTCAACAATGACAACATAAAGAGACAAATCTTTTACAATGTTGTCGACAAGCTTAAGTAAAGCAACTCATATTGAAAATTGTAGAAAGATCCTGACCTGGGAACCATGTTGATCGCATACCACCAACCGAGGTACAGGGAAGCGTTCTTGGATGATCACTTGGGCATCGCCCTGTGGAGCTTGCAACAATTGTGCAAACGCCTGAAAATATACAAGCATACATGATAAACTGGAAAAAAAAAATCTAAGCACATTTATCAATCAAAGGAAAACTTAGCTAAATGACCTTTTTTTACCACATCTTTTCATAAATGGCTGAACTTTTTATATTTTACGAAAATGGCCGTTTAATTTACAGGAGTCAATCAGACCCACAATCAATCAGTTATTGACCACGGTCAATCAGTGATTAACCGATTCATTATTTATTTATCCATTTTTATGATTAATAAACCTGCAATTTGTTGAGTAAAATTAATTAATTAATAATTGATTTTGGTTAACTATATTGATTACTAATGAAGAATCATCGAATTAATCAGTGATAAGTCAATATAGATTGTTAAGTCAATCAGTGATTGGCTACTAAGTCAATTAGTGATTGACTGCTATGTCAATCAAGTCAATCAGTGGTTGACCTTTAAATTGATAAAAACGGCCATTTTTGCAATTTTACAAAACTTCAGGTTTTATGCAAAATAAAAAATAAAAAAACCTTCAAAAAGGGACATTTGTGCCGAAATCCCTTTATCAAACAATAAAGAAAATGAAAATGATAAAATCTAAGCACATGGGTCAATTCTTAAAAATAAAATAAAAAATAATAATTAAGCGAAGCACATGGGGGAAAAAGGGGTTGCAAGTCAAAAGACCAAGTGAAAAAAAACATAGTTAATAAATTCAGTCGAAATAATTAAGCAAAAACCTGGTGCTCTGGTTGATTTTGATATCCCATATTACGCCACTGAGCTATAGTCATTCCATGGAAAATAACAACACTAAAATACGAATCTAACAGGAGGATTTGATCTGCTGCAATAGAAGCCACATCCAGCATAACAGGTCTTGGCAGTGAATTGAACGAATAGGCCATTAGTGATGGCTGAATCATGACAACCGCATTGGTAACATTCTCCCGATTTAGTAGCATACGGAAATAGGCAGTCTCATCCGGACTGTTGTTGAAAACCTAAAAATTATCAAATTCGCACCGGAGACAGTTCAACTATTGAGTATATTTCGTAACATTAGTAAAGGTTCAGGAAACGAGAGGGGGAAAGGGAGAGAAAATTGATACCTGGACAAACTGTGACCGCCGCAGATTAAACATGAATTGTGGGAACAATGAAATACACGGATGTAGTGTAAAAGATGAAGGATCATCCTTCCGATAGTCACCGAATTTGGCGCAAAGGCGAATTAGAGTTCTGTCCAACCATCGTGTGGCATCAAATGATTCCTAGTTGAGATAAAAAGTAATCACTAGACAGAACTCTAAAAAGAAAAATAAAATAAAGTCAATTGTTCAATAAAAATATAATAAATAAATAAAAACATCAAAATCACCTTTATTTTTTACCTTCACCTACAAGACATCCAGATTCAAGAATGGACAATAGAAATTGCAATTAAAAATAAGTCAAAAGAAGATGCTACCTCTGTCTCCATTTTCAAGGATGTCTTTCTAGCCATTACTACAGCAGCAGTCTCTTGATCAAATCCATGTATCAGTTCCTGAAGAGGCGAATATTTCTTTCCACGTTAGAATTATAGATTCAATGAATGTACTTCAACATATAAGCAGCAAACAATATCAAATCTCAATCAAGCATAAGAATGCTACCTCCAAGCTTAAAAATATGTGAAGAAATTAATGACATATCAATTCAATATTTTAAATTTAATAACCAAAAAGCTCCTTGCTGCAAATTCAGATAAACAAAGTAAACAAACCTCTGTGCTAACAGCAGTATCTATCCACGCTCTAGTAACAGTCGTAACGCGAAGCATCATTCGACCATTGGTATTCTGATACCTGCAGTTCCAAACAACAATGATGCTAAGTCTCCAAGCAAAACCAACAGATGATACAATCTATCTGTTGACGAATCTGTCAAGATTCGTTGACTCGAAATCCGGAAAATCACTCCATGATTTCCCTCGGATTCTCAGGGAAATCATTCCCTGATTTGTCTAGTCAATGATCGGAACCTTAGAGAAAGTTTCCTAGTATTTCAAGTCAATGCAAGCTGTATAGGTGGCTGTCATACCAGAATTCATTACCTGATTCTTTTGTAATTAAGAGTTTCCTAGTTTAGGCTATATACCAAATTAGACAATACCCCTGTACTCTATAAATAGTTGTGAATCTTCCTCAATGAAATAATATACAGTGAGAACATTTGTTTGTTCATGGTATCAGAGCCCCTCACGATCTTTTGCTGAAAAAAAAACAAAACTGTCCACGGTTATTCCTTTAGGCACCTAGAAAATGTCAGAAATTTCTGAAACAGGCAAACAATACCACAAATGTCAACCTAACCTCTAATTCAACCCAAAACCCCCAGCCGCAACCTGCAGCCCCCCTTCAAGCTCAATGGCCGAAATTATCTAGTGTGGTCCCAATTAGTTAGAACCTTCCTTAATTGAGTCACTTGACAGGCCCCATACCGAAGGAGGATGATCCAAAGTTCGAGGCTTGGGATGTAGAAGACTCATCAATCATGACATGACTTTGGAACTCAATGCAGCCCGAAATCAGTGGCAATCTTATGTTCCTGCCCACGTCAAAAGACATCTGGGACACCATGAGGAGACCTATTCAAAGGTTCGCGATGCTGCCTTAGTCTATGAGATTAAGACAAAAATTCACTCAACCAAGCAAAGTAATCTCTCGGTCACCGCTTATTACAACAAAATGAAAAATCTGTGGATTGAACTCGATTACTACCAAAACTTTAAGATGAAGTGCAGCGAAGATGCTGCAATGACGTTAAAATTTGTTGAAAGAGAGAGTTTATGAGTTCTTGGCTGGTTTGAATGTGGAATATGACCAAGTCCGTGTGCAAATACTTGGAAAAGATTCACTACCATCCCTGAGTGAAGTCTTCTCCACTCTCCGTGGTGAAGGAAGGAGAGGCGTCATGCTTGAAACTCCACCAAGTGAGAGTTCGGCCTTTAGTTGCCTCAGTTCCTGCTGCTGTTGTTGTTGTTCCTAGTGTTGCTGCTGCTGCCGCTACTGCCCCTCAGAATCCACAACAGAACACCAACCGGACAAAGAATTCCAGGCCATTCAACAAAATAACAAACAACAGAGACAGTTTGTTCTGCAATTACTGCAAGAAACCGAGCCATACTAAGGACATTTGTTGGAAGCTGCATGGGAAACCACCCAGAAATAATTCCCATGTAGAGGAGCAGGATGCAACTGCTGCAACTCAGGAGATGAGTAGATTCAATCGAGAAGAAATTGAAAAACTCCGCAGCTTTCTAACAGCAATGGATAAACCGGTAGGATCCTACTCCATGGCTCAATCAGGTAAGTATTCTACAACCCATCTTTTACGTGATTCAGAGAGCAATCTTAATGGAATTTGGCTAGTAGACTCAGGTGCAACCGATCATATGACAAATTCTTCAAACCATTTTTCGTCCTATACCCCATGTCCTGGTAACCAAAAGATAAAAACAGCCGATGGAACTTTGGTGACTATTGCTGGAAAAGGGATCATAAAAACCATACCAACATTGCCTTTGAAATCTGTTCTTCATGTTCCTAAACTATTCTTTAATTTGTTGTCTATTCAAAAGCTCACATCTGACCTAAACTGTTCAGTAACCTTTTATTCTACACACTGTGTTTCAGGATCGGACCACGGGGAAGATGATTGGGCGTGCTAAGGAACGGCAGGGACTTTACTATCTAGGCACGAGTGATGGTGGCAGTAAAAATGATTATATTTCTCAGTCTTACATCTCTGAAAATCAAACTACAAGAAAGTCTCAGATTTGCTTCATCGTGTTCAAATGGGCCGTCCATCTTTTTCTCTGTTAAAAACTATGGGCATGTTCTTTTGTCCAAAAAACTCAAAAAAAGACAACTCGAGTTCCAACTTTATTCAAGTTTATGTTCTTTTAAGTTTCAACTTTATTCAACTTTACTCAACTGTATTCAAGTTACAACTTAAACTCAAGTTATAATTCAAATTCACCTCAAAAACTACACTCAAGTTACACTCCAAAAGAACAACCCCTATGTTTCCTGTACTATTTCAGAAAATGTCAATGAGTTTCATTGTGAAGTGTGTCAAATGGCTAAGCACCATAGAATTTCCTATTCTAGATGGTCCCCACACATCTGTATGCACACATCTGTGTGGGGACCATCTAGAATTTCAAACATCAGTGTTGCTCGTTGGTTTGTTTCCTTTATAGAAGATTACTCTCTAACTACTTGGCTCTTTCTAATGAAAAATAAATCTGATGTGAGTGATTTTTCCCATATTTCATAAAATGATTCTTAACACAATTCGGAATTCACATTAAGTATATTCGTTCTGATAATGGGAGAGAATATTTTAATAAAGTAATGTCACCATCAAACACATGGCATAATCCATGAGTCTTCATGCCTTGACACTCCTGAACAAAATAGAGTTGCAGAAAGAAAAAATCGTCATCTCCTAGAAGTCACTCGTGCTTTATTGTTTGAGAAAAAATGTTCCTAAATTCTACTGGGGGGAAGCAGTCTTAACAGCCACATACCTCATTAATCGATTACCCAATAGAGTGCTACAAAACAGGTCTCCCATTGATGTACTATCATAATCATTTCCTCATATCAAACACTCACAACTTCCTTTACGAGCTTTCGGCTGTACTGCCTATGTTCACATCCACCAAAAAGACCGAAACAGTAAACTTGATCCAAGAGCCTTAAAGTCAATTTTCCTAGGATATTCCTCAACACAGAAAGGGTATAAGTGTTATTATCCAAGTAATAGGAAATTCTACATATCAAAAGATGTCACTTTTGCTGAAAATCAAGGATTCTGTGGTCAAACTTGTCTTCCAAGGGAGCCTAGATTAGAAGACAACTCGAATTTAAATGACGTTTGGTTGGAGGATTCAAACCATGTGATTCGAATCATTTTCGATTTACATGAATTTTTTGTGAGAAAAAATACTGTAGCGAACCATGAATTATGATTCGAATCAGGGAACGAATCCCTCTACCAAACATCCTCTTAGATTTCCTCACTTTTGATCTCAATCCAACACCTGTTAATATAATAGATCCAGGAAGTCCAGGAAGTACCTCAGATCAAGAAACAGAAGTACACTCATCAGACAATTCAAACCCTCTTCCCAGTCCAGCCCAAGTTCTTAGCAGTCCAAACCATTATCATCCACGCTCAAGTCCTACCCAAAAAGATCCAAACACAAGTCCAGTCCATTCTTGTCAAATAAATAACCATCCAATGCCTCCATTGCAAGTGTACTCGAGAAGAAAGCCAAATCCTGAACCGGTGATGGCTCAATCATCATAACCTGTGCAAGATCAAGCTTCAAAAGCAGGTAACAAATCTGATCCATTACCACTAGAATTTCATGATCTTCATCTGCCTATTGCAAACAAAAAAGGCACACGGAAATGCACACAACACCCTATAGCAAATTTCATCTCATTTGCCAATCTTTCTCCACCACATAGAGCCATTCTCACCGAGTTAAATGCTATCGAGATTCCAAAAACTGCTCAAGAAGCACTTAGAAATGAGGAGTGGAAAAAAGCTATGATTGAGGAAATGAGAGCACTGGAAAAAAATAAAACTTAGGAGATTGTTGAGTTGCCTAAGGGAAAAAAATTAATTGGGTGTAAGTGGGTGTTCACAATGAAATATAATGCAGATGGGACACTTGAGAGATACAAAGCCAGGCTTGTTGCCAAAGGCTATACTCAGACATATGGGGTAGACTATGTAGAAACCTTTGCACCGGTGGCAAAACTAAACACCATTAGGATATTAGTATCCTTAGCAGCCAATCTTAATTGGACTTTACAACAATTTGATGTAAAAAATGCCTTTTTACACAGTGATCTAGAGGAGGAAGCATATATGGAACCACCACCTGGTTTCAATCAAAACTTTGGAACTAACAATGTGTGCAGGTTAAGGAAGGCCCTTTATGGGCTGAAACAGTCCCCAAGGGCATGGTTTGGAAGATTCACCAAAGCCATGGAAAGAATGAAGTTCAAGCAAAGTGTAGGAGATCATACACTCTTCATCAAACGATCATCAGAGGACAAGATTACTGCCTTAATTGTCTGTGGATGACATCATTGTGACAGGAGATGATGTTGAGGAAATCAAGAAGCTGAAAGACCATCTATCCAGGGAGTTTGAGATAAAAGACCTCGGAAGGCTCAAGTACTTCTTAGGAATTGAGGTTGCACATTCAAAAAGTGGGATTTTTATCTCCCAACAAAAATATATCCTGGATTTACTCAAGGAAATAGGTATGATGGGATGCAGGTCCTCAGAAATTCCTATTGACTATCATCATAAGTTAGGAGAAGCTGCAAATAGTCCAAAAGTCGACAAGGGATGATATCAGAGGCTGATCAGGAAGTTCATTTATCTGGCTCATACAAGGCCAGACATGGCCTATGCAGTAAGTGTTCTAAGCCAATTTATGCATGCCCCTCGAGACACACCTACAAGCTGCATACAAAGTCCTTCAATATCTCAAGGGACCTCCTGGCAAGGGAATCCTATTCAAAAGAAATGGAAGGCTCAACTTGGAGGCATACACGGATGCAGATTGCGTTGGGTCCCTTGTGGACCGAAGATCCACCTCAGGATACTGCACCTTTCTTGGAGGAAATCTCATAATTTGGAGGAGTAAGAAGCAGTCAGTGGTCACTAGATCAAGCGCCGAAGCGGAGTTTCGAGCAATGGCTCAAGGCAGATGTGAACTCTTATGGATAAGAATCATTCTAGGAGACTTAAAGTGAAATGGGAAAGTGCTATGAAGCTATATTGTGACAACAAATCAGCTATAAATATTGCACACAATCTTGTACAACATGATCGAACAAAGCACGTGGAAATCGATCGTCATTTCATCAAAGAGAAACTCGAGAATGGACTTATTTGCACTCCTTATGTTCCTACCAACAGACAACTGGCAGATATTCTAACGAAGGGACTTCCTAATGCATCATTTCAAAGTATTACCAGAAAAAGGGGAATGGAAAACATCCACTCAACAGCTTGAGGAGCGGTGTTGACGAATCTGTCAAGATTCGTTGACTCGAGATTAGGAAAATCACTCCATGATTTCCCTCGGATTCTCAGGGAAATCATTCCCTGATTTGTCTAGTCAATGATCGGATCCTTAGAGAAAGTTTCCTGGTATTTCAAGTCAATGCAAGCTGTATAGGTGGCTGTCATACCATAATTCATTACCTAATTCTTTTGCAATTAAGAGTTTCCTAGTTTAGGCTATATATCAAATTAGACAATACCCCTGTACTCTATAAATAGTTGTAAATCTTCCTCAATGAAATAATATACAGTGAGAAAATTTGTTTGTTCACTATCATATAATCCTACTTCGTACCTCGTAATAAATTGCAAATACAATTGTGGATTTACAGTCCCTAGGGTATTGGATCGATCACTTGCTGACAGATCAAAGAAAACTGTCAAGGAGGTACTCTTGTCAAGGCCACACATCTTCCATTCAGCCGTATTCCCCTCACCAACAACAGTATCGGCAGCAGCAGGTCCTTTCTGCAAACAAAGCAATGAAGAAATCAACTCCAATAAAGGGGAAAAAACTCAGGTTCTAGTCATAACTAATAAATCGTTTTCAGGCCGGGAATTCAATCTCATCAAGCAACGAAAGAGAAACTAACCTTCTCCAAAGAAGTACAAGGACCAATTATCCCCTGAATCTTGATGTCCTTTGAACAGTTTATCTCGAGTGTACCACTAGAATAAATTCATTTAGAAATCAGCTTGATATGTCATATCATCTTGAGCCCAAACATATAATTTAACAGATTGAAAAATACCAAAAAAGAGGTCGGTGAGAGTGCTGTTTGCAAGTGCACATATATCAGTGCAAATGTACCATGTAGATATTAAATAAAATAACATAACATATATTAAACCAAGAAAAGACACCTGCAAGGCCTAAAAGTAGTCTCGTTAAATTCAAAAGGCGTTGAGAACAACTCCCTCCCTCAAAAAAACTTGGACCTTCAAGTCACCAAGTTATAAACCAATTTTGCGGCTCCCAACAACCAATGACAACAAAGTTCATTCATTCCTCACAGCTGAGCATTTCCATATATTGCCCACCAAAGAAAGGGGGAAAAAAATGAAGCATCAGTCACAACCACAATCCACGGGTGGAAAATTGCATCCCTCCCTCCATCCTTTTGATGTTCTATTCACACAAATTACCTATTTTATCCCTAAAAGGACAGTATGAATCATATTCGTCTCACAATGGTTCACCCACCCACCCTCTTTTCATGTCGCATGTAAAAACCAAAAGTCAGATCCGCCAATGCTCCATGATATATAATCCACTCTACCTGGTTAAAATCAATCACAGCCCTAGGTAGTTTCTTTTTTTTTCGATTTTCTTTTATACAGGGCTAACACTCTATGGCACAAACTTGATTTATCACAACTACACTTATGTGCGCTTTCAGCACAACAAAAGTATAGGAAGATCCTAAAAATTACACATAAGGAAGTTTCACTTGGTTACAACTTGCAGAGGATAGAAACTCAACAACATACAAGGGCAAGTAAAAAATTGGACAGAAAAATTGGACAGAGTTGGCAAAGCAGCTATACAATTGAGTCTTAAAGCAATAAGAAAAAAACAAAGGATAAAACAATTGAAAACAAAGGAGAAACATTAAAAATGTTCTATAGTGATTAAGTACTCACTTAAAGCAGAGTCCAAGAGATTTTTCTCCTTCTTCAAAAACACGCTTAAAAGAATCTTTAAATACAGAATGACCAAAACTTTCAGATAGCACAACAAGGCCACCAGTTTTCTCAATCGCGACTTTCATCTCCGCAACACCAACCTAAGACATAAAGCCCAGAAGTCAGTAAATAACCATACAACTTATAGTGAGCGGAAGCTTGAAATGACATCTCCTAAGTTTAAATGAATGCAAACACAAGCTCTCACAATATTTTCTAAAAATCTTGAGCAAAACATCTATTCCACATACCAAAGTTTCTGGTTCCATGTGTCAAACATAAGCCAGAATCTATTTGATTGGTAATTTCAGAAATGATAACATATTATTTAACAATAATTGGAAGTTACAAATTCTGAAGATTTTCAAGGGAATAGTAAAGGAAAGCGTTCAATTCCTTCGACTTAGGAATTGATCAAATTTTATTGAAGACTTCATCCAATCAGGACAGACAAAACTGGAACAGAATGTACATAGAGTTTAACATTAGATACAAAAGATTCTTTCTTTTACGTACAAACGGCTGACTATACATGTGTGTCACTTGAACACATTTCCAACAACAAAAGAAAAACATGGTAATTACTAAATTATAAATACCAACACAACGAGCCCAGGGAAGGACTCTAGATGCTTTAAACTACAAAGGATGACCACATATACCTGATCAAGGGCAGATGCAAAGACGTCTAAAACATGACCTTGGCTAACCAGCTGCTTCGCAAGACTATCATAAAATTTGACTGCTTTCTTAAAATATGGTGCGGCATCTTTGTCTAGATCCTTATGGGAACGGACTGGATCTGACAAATCTTTCGATATAATCTGCAGTAGTTTAACAATTCCATATCACCATCATAATTTTTTTTTTTTTGCAACAACCATTGATTAATACAAATTGGTAAACCCTTGTTTTCTTTAATTCTAGGGCATGTTCTTTTGTCCAAAAAACTCAAAAAAAGATAACTCGAGTTCCAATTTTATTCAAGTTTATGTTCTTTTAAGTTTCAACTTTATTCAACTTTACTCAACTTTATTCAAATTACAACTTCAACTCAAGTTATAATTCAAATTCAACTCAAAAACTACACTTAAGTTACACTCCAAAAGAACAACCCCTTAATCTCGTTGATTGATAAATTAATGCAAGTAAAATTAAGATATCAAATGCATGAGCTCTCAAACGTGAAAATCAAAAGAAAAATCACCACAATAATGAACTCTAGAATGTCATTGTCTACTCACATTACTATTCAGCTTTATTTGCTATTTTGTCACTTTGTTCACAAAGTGTCATTGTTTTTTGTTTCCGAATCAGGTCTGATCCCATCTAACTAGTAAAGAGAAAAGTTTTGTACCTGTTTAGGAAGCCTTCTTTGGAATAAACATACCAAAAAACCTAGTCTGAGACTTATCAGATCTGGAAACCATGAGATCAATACCAATAGCATTTTAGCGTTTAAGTACCACCAACTTTCTTTTTCTGAGTAAGTAATGGTTGACATTCAGCTCATATATTCACTAATCACTAAAGCTAATCATCGTTGAATTTAAAGCAAATTCAGGAGGAGTTGCTAGCACTATAAGAGGCAAATGCAATGAGAAAAGTGAAACCAAAAAGAAGTCGTTCACATAATTCTCAACCATAGACTATCCTAGGATAAACTATGGCAAAAGTCTAGAATTAGCCATAGTGGGCAAGACTCCAAAAACCATAACAGAATTGCCTAAAGCAAAGATCTATTAAAAAAATTAAAAAAAAAAAAAAAACTAATTTTTAGTCACAATTAGCAACAAATAAGAGTCCTATTTAATTAATAAGCACTATAAACTCATCTTGTAAGAAGCATTTATGGAGCTTGGCCCTGAAAACCTCATTTTGCAAAACAATCAACAGCATATTTATGTTGCATTGCATCCTATTTCCTAAGGACTGCTTCAAAAAAAATAAAAAAATAAAAAGAAAGAAAGAAAGATTTTTATTGGAAATTACCGAGCCCGGCCCTTCTGTGCATGGACCTCCGACCAAAGCAATAATGCGAGCTCCGGTGCCAGGCAAACAAGCTCCAAGCAACCCCGCCGCGACGCTCAACGCCACTCCAATGCACCGCGACGCCCGACTACCAGGGGGCACGGGCCACTGATCCGTTTGCAACTCATCCAAAACCTAAAATCCACACAAAATAAACAATTCAATCATCCAAAACAAAAATCAATCAAATTTTCAAAAAATAGAAAAATAAAACATCCTTGTCCTCACCGAATTGAGCGTGTACTCACAATCCGAAGCGGGCAACAAGAACCGGCTAATCCCCAATCCGGGCAACCCATTCTGCACGACCTTGGCCTGGAATCCCCCAGTGGCCACTGCCGGTCTCCGGGCAGCAACTCCGAGCCCCAATTGCTCCAAAATTTGTTCCTTGGAAATCTCCTTGGTCCCCCTAAAAACATAAACCTTCGTCATGTCGGAGAATCCCAATTCGTGAACCTGCACCTGCGTCCCGAACGACACGAATCCGACGAGAGCGTTATCCGGCAGCAATCCGATCGCCCTTTTCAGCGCGGACTTAACAAACTCCATCTCCTCATCAATCATGCAGGTATCGAGCACGAACAAGAACACCGGCGGCGGCGAAGGCGGGTCCGGCGCATTGGGATTGGTGGGGAGGGCGCGGGAGTACTGGATGGTGGTGTAGGAGGGGAAGAGCTCGCCGGGGAGATTGGTGTCCGAAATCCCGACATATTGGGGAGGGAAATGGTTGCGTTGGAAGCAGAAGGGACAGATCCAGATCATGGCGGTGAAGTCGACGCGGCAGAAGGGGTTGAGGATGGCGGCGCACGTCTTGCAGCGGAGAGGGTAGTAATCGAGGGTGGCGATCTCCGGGTGGGGCCGGATCGGGGAGATCACAGCGGCGAGTGGGATCACACACTTGCTCGCCTCGACCTTCGTGCGGGGCCACGCGTTCCAGGTCATGCGGACGCCGTCGATGCCGTCTATGTCGGTGCTCGCCATCTCCGTCATCGTCGAAGGTCTAGGTTTTGCTTTTGCTTTGATCAATCGGAATTTGGGTTGGCAATTGAGCGATTTTTCGGGTTTGGGGTTTGAATTGGGATTTTTGTTTTTCTTTTTTGTTTTGGTTTTTGACCCTTTGAGAGGAAGAAGAAGAGAAAAAGGATCGGAAAGAAGGTGAGATGTGAGAGAAAGGAAGAGGCGTCAGAGGGAAATCAAAGAGTGATCTTTTGCTTAAATTGTTTATGATTGATTTATCGTAATTTCTTATTATACTTTATACATAGGAGACATCCGGATTATTGTTCTTAGAACAATGCCGGTCCTTTTTCTCTTTTTGCTTTGAAAAAATTCCAATTGTGTCTTAAATTTTTATTTTTACTGTTTTATTCTTAGTTGCTTATTTCTACTTTGATTTCTGTTTAGATATTTTTGTCTTATCCTTCAAAATAGAGCCTCATTAAGCTTTTGTACTTGATTGTTTAGTTTGGCTTTCTTTTTTTATTGTGAGAGTTCTTGACTTCTTCATTTATATTCATTTATTTTTTTTTCCTTCTCTCTCTTCTTTTTCGTGAGGCTTCTAGGATTATTTTTTTTTGTTTGTTTGGATTTCTCGCCATTTTTTTCCATCAAGTTTCTGAATTTGGTCATTTATATGCATTTCTTTTTTTTTTCCTTCTCTCTTTCTTCCTTTTCGTGAGGCTTCTGAGATTCATTTTTTATGTTTATTTCGTTTTTTGGTTTTATTTTTCGTTTCTCTTTCCTTAGATTTCACTTCGTTTTTTCTTCTGTTTTTTTATTCGGTTTTTTTTCCGTTTTTTCAAATTTGTTATCTGTTAGTGTTTTTATTTCCACATCTGTTATTTGTTAGTGTTATCTCTTAGTTTTTTTTTCGTTTTTTGATTCGGTTTTTATTTCCATATTTTTTTGTTTTAGTAGAATTGTATAATTTCTTTTGATCTGTTCTTCGTTTTGTGTTTTCATTTTTGTAATTTTAGAATTTTTTCTATTAATTTTTTTCGGCGAATGGTTTTTCCTTTTTTTCTTTTTTTTATTATTTTTTTAGTTTTGTTGTTTTGTTCTTTTATTCTTCTTCATTTTCTTCTTATTTTTTTGGTTTTTTTAGTCTTTTTAATTTTTTTTATTATGCGCCTTCTTGCTTTCTGGATGGTTTTTTTAGGAATAATTTTGGCCTATGTTTCTTGCTTTTTCTTTCTTTGTTGTTCTTGGTTTCTTTGTTGTTGTTTTTTTCCTTCAGATTCTTTAAGATTTTGTTGTGTCAATCTTTTTTCCCTCTTATTTTATATCAGGGTTTCATTTTCTCTTTTTTTCCCCTCTTTTTTTGTTATCGTTCGGAATAGATTCCGTGTTTTTTTTCTGTCGATTTTTTAAGATTTCGTCCTATCAAATTTTTTTACTCCTATTTCATATTAGGGTTTTGTTATCTCTTTTTTTTCTTTCTTCATTCTCTTTCTTTCTTGTGTTTAGTGGTTTAGGTCTTCGAAATAATCCATTTTTCTTTTATTTTTTTCCTCTTTTCTCTATTTCGATTGTTTTTTCATATGTTCTTTGTTCATTTTTCTTTTCCCTGCACATTTGATGTTCTATTGTCGTTTTCCTTATTTGTTTCTCTATGTGCTCTTTTTTATCCTCTAATTTTCTATAATGGAGCTGTAGTTTTTAACTGTCTTCTGTTCATTGGTATTATTTCCTATTGATTATCATGTTGTGTAACACCTATTTTTACTAATTATTACATGTTTTCATATTTGTTTGCAGGTTATATTAGTCGGGAATGTTTAGACATTTGTTTTTAGTGCAGGGTAATTTTTTCTAATAGATTAATTTTTTTCACTGTCTGCAAATTATTCGTTCTGTTCTACGGTAGTTATCATGCAGCGTAACACCTATTTTCAACTAATTATTATGTGTATTAAGTTTTATTTGTAATATTTGCTACCACCACATGCTCAAAAGTTTATCTTCTTTGTATAAATATATTGTTTTCTCTTTCATGCTTACTGTCTTTCCCTTTGTTTCTATTTTTGTTGTCATACAGTTATAGCCTATCTTCTCTTTATCCTTTCTTTTCTTCAATTTTCAATAGTGAGTTTTTTTTTTCTTTTATGTTGTCTTTGTTTTGTAGTTTTTTTACTTCTCCTGCATCAACTCTATCCACTTTTGTTATTGTTCTAAGGTACTTCTTCCACATTATTTCCAACTGCTCTTAATCTCTTTCCTTGGATTTGGCTTTGTTTTTACTTATGTTTTTTTATTCGGTTTTTTTTTTTCTGTTTTTCCATATCCGTTATCTATTATTGTTTTTATTTCGAGATCTGCTATTTGTTAGTGTTATTTGTTAGTTTTTTTTCATTTTTTGACTCGATTTTTATTTTCATATTTGTTTTGTTTTAGTAGTATTGCATAATTTCTTTTGATCTGTTCTTCGTTTTGTATTTTCATTTTTATAATTTTAGAATTTTTTTCTATTAATTTTTTTCTACGAATGGTTTTTCCTTTTTTTCTTTTTTTTTGTTATTTTTTTAGTTTTGTTGTTTTGTTCTTTTATTCTACTTCATTTTCTCCTTCTTTTTTTTCATTTTTTTAGTTTTTCTGAATTTTTTATTATGCGTCTTCTTGCTTTCTGGATGGTTTTTTTTGTAGGAATAATTTTGGCCTATGTTTCTTGCTTTTTCCTTCTTTGTTGTTTTTTTTCCCTTCAGATTCTTTAACATTTCGTTGTGTCAATTTTTTTCCCTCTTATTTTATTTCAGGATTTCATTTTCCCTTTTTTCTCCTCTTTTTTTGTTATCGTTCAGAATAGATTCCGTGTTTTTTTCTGTCGATTTTTTAAGATTTCGTTCTGTCAAATTTTTTTACTCCTATTTCATATTAGGGTTTTGTTATCTCTTTTTTTTTCTTTCTTTTTTGTGTTTGGTGGTTTAGGTCTTCGAAATAATCCATTTTTTCTTTTTTTTTGTTCTCTTTTCTCTATTTGGGTTGTTTTTTTATCTGTTCTTTGTTCATAATTTTTTTCTCTGCACATTTGATGTTCTATTGTCATTTTCCTTATTTGTTTCTCTATGTGCTCTTTTTTATCCTCTAATTTTCTATAATGGAGCTGTAGTTTTTTACTGTCTTCTGTTCATTGGTTCTGTAACCTGTTGGTTATCATGTTGTGTAACACTTATTTTTACTAATTATTACATGTTTTCATATTTGTTTGCAGGTTACATTAGTCGGGTATGTTTAGACATTTGTTTTTAGTGTAGAGTAATTTTTTCTAACAGATTAATTTTTTTTCACTGTCTGCAGATTATTCGTTCTATTCTGCAGTAGTTATCATGCAGCGTAACACATGTTTTCAACTAATTATTACATGTATTAAGTTGTTTTTGCAGTATTTGCTACCACCACATGCTCAAAAGTTTATCTTCTTTGTATAAATATATTGTTTCCTCTTTCATGCTTAATGTCTTTCGTTTTCTTTTTGTTTTCGTTGTCATACAGTTACAACCTATCTTCTCTGTTTCCTTTCTTTTCTTCAGTTTTCAATAGTGAGTTTTTTTTTTCTTTTCTGTTGTCTCTGTTTTGGAGTTTTTTTACTTCTCCTGCATCAACTCTATCCACTTTCGTTATTGCTCTAAGGTACTTCTTTCTTACTTCTTCCACGTTATTTCCAACTGCTCTTAAAATTATATATATTATATTACTATGATTTCTTAAGTGTATATATTGAGTTTTTAATATATGTGCTCACTGTTTTATGTTATTATGATTATGTTTGTATTAAGTTTGTTAATATTATTTGTAAAATATTGTTTAATGTTTATATTATATAAGTTATCACAATTTGAATAAAAATTAGGTTTCTATTATATATGTTATATTAGTTTGTCAACACTCCATTCTCTATCTAATGTGACTTCTCATTTGGTAATGATGTAGTATTTTTCTTTTATTGTTACCATGTATTAACTGTTTATAGTGATTTAGCAAGCTTTGACGTTGTCCGGATTATTTAAGATTTATGTTATTTTACTTGACCTGTTTTGTCAACAGTATGTTGCTCTTATTGTCATTCTACTCTAAAATAGTTTGCTCTTTATCTGATTTTACTGGAGGGTTTTCGCTCTATTCTTTTACTCATGTCTCTGTTGTTGGTTTGCCAGTTGAACTCATTTTTATGTTTCTGAAGTTTCTGAGAATTTATTTACTTCCTTTATTTTGATATCGTCTTTCCCTAGCTTTTTTACCACTGCAGCATTTCTTCTTTTTCTATTGTCTTTGTTTTGTTCTCAAATATTTCAATTAGTCTTCTGGGATTGATTTGTTTTGTTCTCAAATATTTGAGTCACTTTTCTGAGATTGGTTTCGGTGACGGTTACAAATGTCGTCTTATCTTTCTTATCTTTGTCTGTACTATATATGTTGTCTGCTCTTTTTTTCTGTCTTTAGTACAAATCCTCTAATAATTTTGTTGGTATATGTTCTTCTTTAGTATTGTTCATGTAATTTGTTATTTTACATGAGATTTCTAAGAATTGAGTAGACAGACACTCGAGTTGTGTCTAATTCTCTCAAATATAAATGTGAGCTATGTTACAAATAAGTATGTATGTTTTCATTTATAAAGATAGACATGTAAATAAATGTGTATATATGTGTTACAAGTTTACAACAACTTATAAACATATATATGTGTGTGTGTGCGTGTTTCTACACATTTTTTTCATTTAAATTACTGTTAATTAAACTATTACATATCCGTGCAAGTGCACGGGTAATCCACTAGTACTATACACTAAAAGAGGTCGGGGTTTGGGTTGGCAATTGAGTGATTTTTCGAGTTTGGGGGTTGAATTGGGATTTTTGTTTTCTTTTTTGTTTTTGGTTTTTGACCCCTTTGAGAGGAAGAAGTAGAGAAAAGGGTTTGGAAGAAGGTGAGATGTGAGAAAGGAAGAGTGTTGTCTTGCCCCTCATTTTTCAACAAATTTTGTCTGTGTCCTTAGTCACTTTAGCTGCTGTTTTGTTTTGTTGTATGATTTTACTGTTTTGCCCTTGGATCCTATTTACATGCTTTATTTTTGTCTTGGTTTTCTCGTCATTTCACCCAAGCTTTAGCCTGCTTCCTTTAGGTTTTCCTCCCCGCTAATGTTTCAGCCTTCATTTGCTCTGAAATCCCCCCCCCCCCCCCCCCCCCCCCCCCCCCCCGCATTCTCCTCTCTGTCTGCAGCTTCTTTTAATCTACTCTTCGTTTAATCTAAATATGCTTTTTGTCTTCTTCTTCTATCCATTTTTTCTTTGTCTTTTC